TTCTTATTTGATTCTTCGGTTCTGGGTCTAGAACCGAAAATCGAATCAAACCATTCGATTCTCGATGCGGATACCCGTTCGGGTATTTCATTTAAAAAAATCCGCTCAGTTCAGTTCGGTTCGGTTCGGTTCGATTCGGACATTTTGCTCAACCCTACTTTTAGCCCTTTAGGCATAGTTTTCGTTTTTACTTGTATTTGTTGTAGAAGAATTTTCGAAGGGAGCTATCTTAATTTTTGATTGAAAATTAATTTTTAAAATAGCTTTTTATTCTGAAAGTACTTTTAAAGAATATCATATTGGAATAATTTTCTCTAAAAGTTCTTTTAATTAGAAGAAGCACTCTTATAAAATTTGTCAAACGAATTCACAAGCTCATTTTAACTTTTCAAAAGTCATGTCAAACGGATCTTTTGTTAACAATTTAAAAACCATCCATACAGTAAATCCGCAAAAGTAAAAAGTCAATAAACAAAAAATTGAACTAAAATCGAACCATAGATAAACTACGAATCAATTGTTGATCTTCAAAACATTGAATTTGATGCGTGAATTTGACATTTTATTGCACTTTCAAGAGTTGAATTTTACTATTGGGTCTTTCAATGAAAGCACGAGTAATATTGTTCGTGCGTGGTTTTTTATTGGATCATTGTAGGAAGAGAAAGCAAAAAGAAAAAAAAAGGAAAAGTTAAATAAAATGTACCTATGTCACCATGTAGTATAGTAATTAAGTGTAACCCAATTTCAGATTTTTGGTTGAACTGATGTTGGTCGAGTTGTTGCACCTTGCACTAAACACATTTTTAAATCATTTGAAATCAACGATCTGAATTTTGCCAACACACTTTGTAACCCAACTTTTATAATTCAATTTTGTACATATAGTTTTATTGTTTACCTAAAGGGTGTCGACAAATGAACACATATTTTTTGTAAATGGTATAAATTTTATTGCGAAAACAATTTGTTGAGAAAGTATATAAATGTTACTAAAATTGATCGAAGATAACTTGTGAGAGAGAAGGGAATTTGGTGACTAGAAAAAATCAACAAAAATAGTTGGAGAAAGAAAAGGAAAGGGCAAAGCAAAAACTCAAATATAAAATTGTCACCATCGAGAAAATATGCAAATAAAATTTAAAATAAAGAGGTTTGTCTTTATCCATCGTAGAGTGGACGGAAAGGATGAAAAACAGTTGTACCAAATTTTTTTGAGGGAAATTATAGAAATGCTGTTCAAAAAGGGTGTCATCGATAAGGAAAGCTTTAAAATTCAAAGCCATTTAATTGTAATTTACTTGTGGTCGCTGTTTATACTGGGCTGGGCTTCTAGAGGAGGAATCCATTTCAAGACACCAATAATAAGACAAGTGGAATGAAAACTTCGACTTATGCCCCGTTCGGTAGAAATTATAATTTAATTCAAAATCAACAAATAATTTTAATCACACATTTTATGGGATTTATAAATTTTTAACCACGCATTTCATCGTTTTTTTTATCAAAGTCTAATTTTAATACTCACCAAACAAGGGTTATATATTTTCTTTTTTCAATTTTACTAGATTTAATTTAAAACTTCCAATTGTGCCACATTTGTAATTGATATTTTGAATTGACCGTTCTATATATACACCATCACTTACAGATTAGTTTATCAATGGATAATGCGACGAAATCTTAAACCAAATAAAAATAAATGAATTATTCCACTCTCTTTTTGATACCTCATCAATCTGTAAAAAAAATTTGCAAATGGTGATACAACAAATATTTTCCATTTTCAATTCGGCAACTGAGCAAGGTTGTTACGAAATCAATACAATACAGTATATATGTAAATTTAAAGATAAAGAGCATGAACTCTCTCTCTCTTTGTGAGTGTGTTTGAACCACATTATTTTGAAAGAATGTATTTTGGAATTGTAGATTGATGGAGAATGTGTGGTTGAAAAACAAAGTTATTGATGCGATGAAAAATATTATTTTATTGAAGAATGTGTGACTGAAAATGAGTAGAAGAATAATAATGAAAATCTTAATGTAGCTCAAGCAGAGACTATACAGATTCTCTCTCATATAATCTCCACTAATCTCATGGAGATGAAACAAATACAGTATATAATATATGTTAATTTAAAGATTTAGTTATGTAATTTTAATTTATAAAATATTTTCCAGTATAACTGAAACAAGACCCCAAAAAGTGGGTTACTACCCTAAAGATCCCACAAGACATTTAATAGTTCGGAAGACAACAATAAATAGCCTGTTTGTTCTCAGATTTTTGTGGGAATGAAGAATCGGCACTCTTTTATTAAATTAAACAATTTACAGAGTTCAAAAGTACTTTAGTCGAGTTTTTATTATTATTGAACCTATCAAATAATTTGATACAAACAAAAACATAGGAAATCGATCGAAGCTCTCGACAAGGACAATAATAACCTAGGATAAAACGGTAATCTCGTAAACTACGATGTAGATATTTTTACATGAAAACTATTATATAGATGCACAATTTTCTCGAGGACAAAAATTATAAACATGTTTGGTATGGTCACGGGGTCAAATTTTTTGCAGTAATTTTTCTCTTGCTAGGCACTAATTTCCCAACTTAGTGCATGAAAACTGTCCCAACTTGACAGGTAACCGATTGATCGGTCCAAAATTGCTTGCACGTGATAATTCCATTGCCAAGCAAGACACTGGCCGTACCTTAGCTGTTTCAACAACTTAAGGCCATCGAGGGGCTTACAGGTAATTTGAATTAGACATAATTAATTATTTTGTTCAATCAAATCTAAAT